ACACACTCCACAATGAAACAGACTTTCCTTTGACCTTGATGACGATCAGGGCACTTCAAAGACTCTGGATGAAGGAGTGTGGGTAACACGGCAGGGAAGATCCAATGGAAAGACTTAATGAAATCCTATGAGTTCGAAACTGAGGATGCTGGCTTCAATGAGCCACTGCAGTTTTTGATGGGTGGATAGACGTGATGAATGCTGTGTTTTTGAAAGATTAACCTGATAACGATGTTCAGGGAAGAGGGGATGTAGAGGGGCGAAAGCAAGAAGAGCAGCCAGAGGCAGGTGCAGTAACCGAAGCATGGAATGATTGTGGTGGTGTCAGAGACAGACAATTTTGAGTTGCTTTGGTGTCCAAGTAGGAGACACAAAGAGCAGAGAGAGGGGAAAGGGTAGTTGAGGATCTTGCAGCTTGCATCTTAGGAGCATCAACCTACGGCCCACGTAAGAAAGGTCCTTCTTTAGAGGCTCCAAGTCTGGCCCTATTCTAGCCATGTCCCTCCCTATGAGTGAGACATTTGTGAGGTCAAGGGGATATGGCCACCCCAAGACTATAACCTTCCCCCTTTCTAGACTATTCTGGGTACCTGAGAACCTGATGCTTCACTGTCCAAATAGCCCAGCTCATGGCCTGGGCCTGTGCAGGCTTCTTCCCTGGGTCCATTCTCTGAAGGGTCAATGGCATGGCCGGTGTGTGCGCCTCTAGGCCTGAGCGGTGGCCAAAAGGCAGCTGTTTGTGGGAGGTGTTGCGTGAGTGGATGGAGCTTGAATTTCCTGGCTACAGAGTCCCCGCGCATGATGCACAACCAACCCCTCACAGTGTAGGATGGAGTCAAGGGGGCGGGCCATGGACAGGGGCCAGGGTCAAACCTTCCAGTATTACCAGGGTCTGGCATGGAACTCCTATGAGTCTGAAAATTATTAAAATCCTGACCTTCCAGGTCATTCTCATAAATGTATATATTTGTAAGGTAGGAAGATAGACGTATTGTTTAGCAGCTTATTGGCTTGGCTTATAACTTTAAAATATTTAGACATATGGCTTCCCTTTGTTCTCTTGCCCTACAACTACGAGGTGTATGTGGGCCTGCTTTCTAGCCAAATACATTCCTTTTTTAGTTTCTCAGTGTGACTTTCCTTCAAATTTTCTCTTTTCTGAGGGCTTACCTCTTGGGTTGTCCCTTAGAATATCGAGAACAATTCTTTTGTTAATTGGCTTACCAGTTTCTTGTTTGTTTGGCCGTGCCACGTGCGTGGCTTGTGGGATCTTAGTTCCCCAACCAGGGACTGAACCTGCACCCTTGGCAGTGAAAAACGTGAAGTCCTAACCACTGGACTGCCAGGGAATTCCCCTCAGTTTTTTAAATTATTGATTTGTAATTCCTTGTATATCTCAGCTATGAGGCCTTTGTCAGATACATATGTGTACGTACACACGCGCACACACACATCAGACATATTCTACTCTCTTGTTTTCCTTTTTATTCTCTTGATGATGTCTTTTGATGAATAAAAGTTCGTAATTTTAAGGTTGCCAGTTGGTCAGTTTTTCCCTTTATTCATAGAGATTTTTGTGTCTGCTTTGAGAAATCTTTATCTAGCGGAAGACCATAAAGATTTTTCCTTTCTCTTTTCCTCTAGCAGGTTTATTGCTTCACTTTTCACATTTAGATGCATTATATCACAATGAATCTGCAACTAATATTTTTATTTTTGCAACTGATTTTTGTGTGTGGTAGAGGTCGAGATTAATCTTGTTTTCCAAGTGCGTATCCATTGACCCAGCTCCATTTATTGAAAAGTCCATCCTTTCTCCTACTGATGTGCAGTGTTGCCTTTGTTATAAACAAAGTGACTATATATGCATAGGCTCTTTCCATTGGTCTATTTGTTTCTCCTTGTACCAAAATCATACTTTCGTAATTACTATAGCTTTGTACTTAAATATTATAATTTTACAGCTCTTGTAAAACTGTAGTGTTACAAGAACTGATAGTGTTAAGTCCTCCAACTTTCTTGGTCAAGATTGTCTTTGCTATTCTTGGTCCTTTGCGTTACCGTGTAAATTTTAGAATTGCCTTGTCAATATTCAAAAATTGTTCCGTTTTCTATTTCCTTGGTTCCTTCCCTTCCACTTACTTTGGATTTGATTTGATATTCTTTTCTAGTTTCATAGATGAAACACATGACAATAGAGATGAAAGCTTAGATAACTGATTTTCAGTCTTTCTTCTTTTTCTAACATATGTACTGTAGAATGTAAATTTCCATTTAAGCACAGCTTCGGTCTGTGTTCTACCAGTTTTGATACAACCATATCTTTATTACCATTCAGTTAAAAAAATTTTTTTTCATACTGTTGCAATTTCTTCATTGACTCATGGGCTACTGAAGGGTTTTACTTGATGTCCAAGCAGCTTGATTCCACTGCAGTCAGAGAAAGAGCTCAAAATTATATCAGTCCTTTGAAATTTGTTGAGGCTTACCTTATAATGCAGCATATAATGAGTTTTGGTAAATGTCTTACAACGTCTTGTCCCACTATTGTTATTGACTGTGTATCCTGCCTCCAGGAGAAGTAGGAGAAGTCAAGTGCAAATTCTAAGGTCCAGACTAGGAAGAAATGCACAGCACCTCATTTACATGTAGTAAATGAAGATAATTATATATCCACGTGGCCAGGCCTAATGCAAAGGAGGATGGGAAGCTGAATTCTCAGACAGGGTGTTCCCTCTCTAAGATAGCAAGAGAGCTGCATGCTGTCCCACACAATCTTCCAGCTAAGCAACTCCAGTTGGGGAAAAAAAGAGAGTCTTCCTCCATAGCTCAGGTAGAAAAATCCCGGAGAGAATCAGATTCGCCAAATTTGGATCACTCTCCTATGTTTGACCAATCACAGTGGCAAAAGGGGTGGAGTAGTCCTGTTGGGCCAAGCCTGGATAGTCATTCTCCTGTGCCCAGAATGGACTGTGTCAATCCCAACAGAATCACGTAAAATGGACTCCAAGGGGAAAGATGGATTCTATTCTTAAGAAAAGGGGTGCTGTACAAGAACTAAAACAAACAAAAAAGATGTTCACTACAAAGTGTAGGTGACAAAAGGAGAAAAGTACTACTGGATTTGGAAATTCAGAGGTCGCTGATGTTCCTAATGACATCCGGGGCTGCGGAGTGGCAGAGAGAGAAGCCAGCTTGCCGGGGTGAGTGGGTGATGCAGGAGGATTGAGTGAGTGAAGAGGACGGGGCGGTGGGGGGGGGGCACGATGAAAGTGGGTGTCGCTTCCGGGATGACTGGCTGTGAAGAGAAGCAGCTACAATGTCTGGGCCTGAGTTCCCCAAAAAGGTGGCCCTGGTACAGGGATTTGAGAGCAAGTAGTTTATTTGGGAAGTGATCCCAAGAGACGTGGGATAGTAAACCAGGAAAAGGAAGGACTCCAACAAGAGAAGGGGCGTGAATGAGCAGGTTACAAGCTGTGGACAAGTGGAACGCTTCTAGAGTGATATATGCCTCCCTGCCGATTCGTTCACTGGAGGGGTGAGGATGCTGGAGGACTACCTACCAACTCTTTTTTTGTTGTGGCCTCTCCCGTTGTGGAGCACAGGCTCCGGACGCGCAGGCTCAGCGGCCATGGCTCACGGGCCCAGCCGCTCCGCGGCACGTGGGATCTTCCCGGACCGGGGCACGAACCCGTGTCCGCTGCATCGGCAGGCGGACTCTCAACCACTGCGCCACCAGGGAGGGTCTCTACCAACACTTATTCCTCCTGGATGTCTGACTGCTGGGGGCGGGGTTGGGGGGGGTGAGGAAATGTAACCAACCCGGCACTCCTGAGTCTGTCGCATTCCTCCTCTGAGCGAGTTCCCCACCGACTGTGAACATCTCCAGGCGGTTGCCGAGCTGGAGGCTTGGGCGTAGAATAGGCGAGTACTCGCCGCTGGGAACGTGGACAAAGTGGGAGAGAGGAAAGCGCCTTTACGATATGCTAATTAGAGACCAGGAGCACAGGGAGAGCAGGACGGGGACACGTCCCAGGATGCTCTTTCTCTAAAAGAAGAGTAAAAGATATGAGGCGTGTGGCTGATGCGGCTATCTTATGCGGAAGTATAGGAAGTTTACGGGAAATCTGATAAGAGTCCTTTCGCTGTCCCTCAAATGCACCAAAAATCGTTTCCTAAAAGGAAGTCAGAGTGAGATCAGGACCGAAGGGGCTTTCAAGAACCCCGCCACGCACACACTCGGAAGGGGAAATCGCTCCGGAGAAGAGAAAGCGAGCGACCCAACGCCGGTAAACCGCAGGGCGGAGTCCAGGGCTCCCCAGGGCCTGTGTGCGAGCGCCCGGCGGAATCTGAAGTCACCCCCTGGCTGTGTGCCACGCAGGAGGTCTCAGCAGGTGAAAGGAGCATTCGACCCAAAGGGAAACCAACAGCCACCGGAACGCTTCTGGTTCTCCGCCGTCTTTAAGCAGGAAAGCCAAAGAAGCGCATCTTGGACACAGGATGGGGCCGTAGAACTTTTTGGTTTTATCCATAAAACGTCCCTTTGAAATAGTAGGTGGGAAGCTACCGGAGCAAGCCCCCTAGAAAGGTATCTTCCGCTGGCACCGCCGCCCCCCTCCGCCCCCGGCAGTGACCCTGGGCTAGGGAGGACTGCCCCACTCTCTGGTCCCTCTGGGGACCGGCTCCCGAGGCTGCGGCTCAAGCCGCGCGCCCCACCTCCAGCCCCCGCACCCTCCGCCGCCAGCTGCCGGCTCAGGGAGGGTGCGGGGCGCGCCCCGGGCGCACAGGCTCCCCCCGCCCGCCGCCGGGCTGGCCGCGCGGAATCACGGGCCGGAGGCGGGGCTGCGCCGGCGG